CCACTTATCTATTATCTATTTAGTATTTCCCCCACCCCTCCCATCCCTAGTAACCAACAAAGATTGTTACTTTTTGTGTGTAAGCTTTTTCATAAGATTTTACAATAGAGGTCTCATACAATCTTTGTCCTTTTGTGATGGACTTATTTCACTCAGTTTAATGTCCTCCAGTTTGATGCATGTTATGAGATGCTTCACAGATTCATCATTGTTCTTTATCGGTGGATAATACTGCGTTGTGTATATGTACCACAGTTCGTTTATCCATTCGTCTGTTGATGGGCATCTAGATTGTTTCCACCTTTTTGCAATTGTGAACAATGCTGCCATGAACATGGATGTGCATATGTCTATTCCTGTGACGGCTCTTATTTCTCTAGGATCCTATGGTATTTCTATTTCTAGCTTTCTAAAGAAGAGCCATATCATTTTCCAAAATGGTTGTATCATTTTGCATTCCCACCAGCAGTGCATAAGAGTTACGATCTCCCTGCAGCCTCTCCAATATTTGTTATTTCCAGTGTTTTTGATGTGTGCCAGCAATGCCAGGGTGAGATGGTATCTCATTGTGGTTTTAATTTGCATTTCTCTAATGGCTAATGAACGTGAGCATTTCCTCATGTGTCTGTTGGCCGCTTGAATGTCTTCTTTGGTTAAGTGTCTGTTCATTTCCCTTTCCCAATTTTTAATTGGATTATTTGTCTTTTTTGTTGTAGAGGTGTTGGATTCTCTTGTAGATTACAGAGATTAGAACTTTGTCTGACTTATAATGTCCAAAAATTTCTTCCCAGTCTGTAGGTTCTCTTTGGACTCTTTTGGTGAAGTCTTTTGAAGAGCATAAGTGTTTGATTTTTAGAAGATCCCAGTTATCTAGCTTATCTTCTGGAATTTGTGTGTTGTTGATTTTGGTTTGTATCCTGTTAATGCAATGTATTAAGGCCTCTAGCATTGATCTTATGTTTTCTTCTATGAACTTTATAGTTTTTGGCTTTATATTTAGGTGTTTGATCCATTTTGAATTAGTTTTTGTACATGGTGTGAGGTATGGGTCCTGTTTCATTTTTTTGCAGATGGACGTCCTGTTTTGCCAGCACCATTTGGTAAAACACTGTCTTTTCCCCATTTGATAGACTTTGGACGCTTGTCGAAGATCAAGCAACCATACATAGATGGGTTTACATCTGGGTTCTCAATTCTGTTCCATTGGTCAGTGTATCTGTTGTTGTACCAGT